TAGCGTGCGGGCGTGGTACTCACAATGGCCCCATTCTGGTATGGACCTCTGTCTGAGAGTGTCGCCGTACTTCATTCCAACAAATTGATAAGTGGGGTGGTGGAAACGGGCCCAATTGGTTGCGTCGTGCGGGTTTGTTATGAATTATGAAAGCGATAAACTGGCACCGTCAGATAAGCCCTCGAGGGTTCATGATTGCACGGTCGTGCAATATACGTGCGAGCGTTGCACGTTCACACAGTCAGACAGCAATTGAGCCGTTGGACCGTTGAACCGCCGAGACAGGGTGCCAGCCGGACTACGTACCGTTGGTTTCAACTGGGTGAATCAAGATAACACCTCCGCCGTCGTCATGCCAAGATATCCGGCTTATGACGCGCTGCTAGCCGAGTATGTGAATTTTAAATGTGAGACGAGTGCGGAAACCTAGAGAGAAAGTGCCAGAGCAACATGGCGCTGTGAAGGGTGTATGTACTTATCGATCGAGCGCAGGTGTTCCTCGATAGCTTCGATCCACGCTATGATGGAACCTTGGAACCCTTCTCCGGTGCTACGCAGGCATCCTTGTACGTGCGCAAGGGCCCACATCCCATGCAGCCGGGATATCATCTCCACTCAACACTCAAGGTTATCGTATGACGGGGAGGGAACTGCTGAACGTGTTCCCTGGTGTTGAACCTCGGTTGGTGAGGTAAGCTTATCATTCTTCAAGGGTCAGCCCAGAGTGTCTACAGTACAGCCTCAACGTGTGACCAACCACTACTGATAACCTAGCATCTTCAAGGTTGATGTCTCCGTTAGAGAGCTTGTTGCTTCCCGCACGCCATAATCGATTCGAATTGAGCAAACGACATTAGCCGTCTGCCGTGTTGCAGAGAAGCATCACGATCCACAGTTCAAGGCGGCAATCGGCATGTACCGCGCAATGCCGGCACGTTGAACATCGAGACGAAGCCTCAGCTGTGGCTGCCATCACAGTTAATCTAGATCGTCAAGCAGCAGGAGGCATTGCCAGGAAAGACGACAGAATGTCACTACACCAACGCGATTGGCCAATGCAAGTATCTGGAGAAAATTGGAGAAGAAAAGCTTGCATCTAGACAAGGATAGACGTGCAGCTTAACGAACCTCCACTTGCCTGTTGCGAGACGAACCAGGGATGTTCTCTACACCACACAAGACATCTCTACATAATTGGAGCCGCGGAAGAAATTTGTCGCATGATTATTCCTTGCACACAACCTTCTCTTCAGTACGATAACAACATGTCCCCGCATCTATCTGGTCAATGAGAGACAACAGCGATGAATACTCATCAACCGTCCCCACACGATAGTACTTGCGGCCGCCGGCCACCCGTCGCAGGGACCTGGACCCATTGCCGAAGTGGAGCTTCATCATGCCCATCCCGTGGAGCCGCGGTAGTGCTGGCTGAATTGAGCGCCTCCGAGGAGCTACACGACTCTCGTCGTGCTAGACGATGGAGACGAAGTGAGTCAGACCAAACATTGTGAACTTGATATACGAGAACGAAGGATGAAGGCAGCCGTTAGTTTCGCCACTAAGTCTACCTTTTTTCAAATCACAAGTACTGAAGGAAACGAGTGGCAATCCCACATATCCAAGTACACGAATTTGACCACCGAGAGGAGGTTTCTGCAAAGAAATCCGCCAAACCAATCCATATTCTCTCAAAGGATCGATATGCATACCCGAGTTCCACGGAGCTACGGCACTTGTCCGCCACATTGGCGATGCTTGTATCAACATCTGCATGCACGTCTGCGCGTCTCCATTTCATGCTGTTAGTCCTGCGTCTTGAAAGGTCGCGTGCTCACCTGCCTATACCGGCTCCGCTATGACGGACAGGGGTGCTGCATATGTAGGATCGCTAGAACGCCGTATATGACATCGCGCTTGCATGATCCAGACCCAGACGTTTGGAACGTTTCTGCCACTTGCGACGCGTGTGTTGCCCACGTGGGTGATCGGTGTGGTTCTCATGGCTTCAACGTGGTATGTCGGTTCGAGTAATTGTGAGGATTCGAGGTGTAATACTGCCGGTGGTAGGGGTCGAAATCGACTCAGAATTGAGGTTTGTGGGGCGCTTCGCTTGCTTACTTGCTTCTTGTAGCTTCATGTGAAGGACGAGTTGCTTAGATATCGGTTACATGTACGATTGGCCTTGATGGTGGATCACAGGTAGATAACTTGGCGATCGCTGAAACTGCCAATGATGATATAATAGTCTATGCGTCAACAGACATGAACGCGGTGGTTCATTGCGTTGGAGAATATCCTTGGTGCAACGGTCCCTACGTACTTGTCAGAACACGTGAGCTGTCTCCAAACAGTACGCAATGTACGCACAATATCATTCCAGCGCACTTCGTGGAACGACATGCACACTGAAGAATCTCAGCACTTCATCATCGCCCAAAGCTTCACACCTTCACCCCCCTCTTGGCCCCTCCCTTCACCATCAACCTTCCCCTTTCCCACAATAATCTCCTCCAGCATCTGGAACCCCAAATGTGTATACACATCCCTACTCCTCGGAGACGTAGATTCCAAAACCACAGGCCACCCCTTCTCCCTCGCCATATCAAGAACAGGGCGAATGAGGTCACTAACTTTAGCCGGGTTGGAAGTAGAAGGGTGAGTGCGGTCGTTTGCTAAAAGGACCAGATGTAGCATGTGAGTTGTCTGGGGAGGGATAAAGCGTTTCCGCACGTGATGAGCGAGGGAGTTTAGTTCTGTTACGGCGGGCGGGTTGTGTGGTTCTTCGGTGTAGTTTTCTGTTACTGTTTCTAGTGTCCTGCATAACACATCGTTAGTATGTTCCAACCTCAAACCCCTGCCAATAGCATTCTACTCAAATGCTACATTTCTTGAAGGATAAACATCTCATGATGATAGGTCATGTACTTACCAAACACTAGCCACCCCACTCCCAGGAACCGTCATACACCTGGCTCCCGCTTTGATGAAATCCGGCACGATAAACGCAAAAACCTCCTTGTTCATCTCCTCTCCAATATCCGTCTTGCCAGAGCCCTGCATTTCATCCAGGAGGATATAGCGTTGAAAAGCATCGGGTTCGAATTGCTTGGCGAGAATTTCGATCGTGTGGTCTAGCGTGTCTTCTATGAGACCAGCGGGAACGGGGATTTGCGACATGATGCTGTTATTGAGGGATTATCAGGAGTTGAAAGTAGGCTTCAGGAAAAGATTGTGGGTGTTGATGCAAATGGAGGTACATGGACTTTTGGCAGTATACTAGTAGTTGATGGGGTCGGTCCGAATTTTCAATGCTCCGGTCCGAAGTTCTCTACATTATGAGCCGGCTGGGCAACGTGTATTACGGTAGGTATTAGACGTCGCTAGCTTCATCCGACCGGTTGCTCGCTCGTACGAGGCTTCCGCGGGCCCCGCAGCGGTACCTGTTCACCTGCCATACGCTGTAACATACTTGAACGACTGGATTCTGTTGTGGGGCAGGACCTGGGGTAGGCCGTGCATGACATGTATACATCACGCGTAGTACGTCTCACGTTGTGTCGAAGAAGAGGTGTTTGGTCTCAAATCAATGAAGCGCTCCGACTTGGAATGTCGTCTTCTGCCTTGATTGAACGCCATACTATACACGTAGATTAAACGCCCGCATATGTTGACACTGAACAAACTTGGTACCGCCCGCATTTCAAGACGTTTAACCTGGAGGGAGCAGACTGTTGTCGACAACATCCTGCGCCTCCATTTCCTCCACGTCGGCACTGTTGTGTAGCGGGGAGCGCGGTAGAGCCATGAGGCCTGTGTAGTGTTAGCAAATCGGCCATGCCTGAACAACCCACGGTGCTTACCAGTTCTTGCGGACTCCAGGATACCGAATGGAGCAATTAGCTTCATGAAGGAGTCAATCCTGGTAGGCTTCGCGGAAACCTCTACTATGCAGTTGTTGGTGCTGATGTCGAGCACCTTTCCACCGAATTGATGAGTCATGAAGGTAATCGCGCGAAGATGTTCGTGCTTGTGTCGGAGCGCCTGGCTGACGGGTAGGTTTGTCGGGTGGTAGTCTTTCCGCAACGACTCGCGAGCAGCCTCCTGTGCCATTGCGTTGCGCTCTTCGTCGGTCATGTCTGGTTCGTATTGCTCCTCCATCTCCGGCGTTTGGGCCATCTCTCGGTGGTGCGCAAGCAGCTCCTCAAAGTACTCCGGGCCGAGAATCGAGACCTTGGCGAGGAGCAGTTCGCGCTGGACGAGGGGCGACTGGGTGTAGTCAAGCACAGCCCATACTGGGACCAGGTCCTCGAGCTGGCGGCGGGCTTGTTCTATGACACCATCCTGCCCTTGCAGCACAATTGTCATGCGGGAGAGGTCGTCTACCTCGGTGTTGCAGACGACCAGACTGTCGATGTTGAAGCCGCGGGCAGCCAGGATACCGGACACGCGGGACAGCACACCGGGCTCGTTCTGTACCAAACAGTTGAGGATGTGGCTCTTGGGCGGAGCTTGGGATGGGAGCGGCGTTTCGTAGAGGATGTTGCTGACGGCAGCGGGCGCCGACCACGCCGGGGGACGGTCTTCGGTGGGGAGGGGCGCAATGCGACGGTGAAGGGCCTTGTAAGCCAGCGCCTGAGTCGACGAGGAGCTGGATGCTCTTTGCTGCTGGCGGAGGGAGGCGGCGCATTGCCTGTTGAGCAGACTGCGCAGCGGCAGCATTGCTCTCCGGGAAGCCATGGCGGGCAGTGGTCGCGGTGAAGGCGAGTAGGCGGGGAGTGACTGCGGATGTGGATGGGCTTCACGTCAAACTGCCCCAGAAAGTGAAATAGAATCCCCGGCCGATTGTCGGAGGAGCCACCAGGCCACGAACAGGCAGGTTCAGCCGCGGCACGCTACTAAGCGAGTCGCTCCTGCCAGAGCCTAAGATTCATCGACAAACACCAACCAACCCGAGCCTCACCCGCACCACGACAACTATCGCTACGGCCACCCGCATCATGTCTGAGGAACGCCGCCCCCGATCGCGCTTTGATAGCGACGATGCCGAGCGCCCTGTCCGCTCGCGCTTCGACTCAGATCGTCGCTCCAGGTCGCCGTCGCGGAGGGAATCCGAGTCGCATCGCGCCCGTAGCCCTGTCGCCCGTGAAGGCACAGACAGCCCTGCATCGTCCAACTTCAAGAACGAGGCGGCAGCAAAGGCGGCGGCTGCGGCTGCGAGGATCAACGCGCAGATTCAGGCGAAGAAGGGCATCCAGCATGTCGACGTGCCTCCGATTCGCTCTGTAAGTTCATCCATATCTTTTCGAGCATGACAAGACTAACAGCCCAGGCCGCTACTCCTCCAGTCGCCAAGTCGCCCGCCTCAAACTCCGCCGCGGCCATAAACAACGAGACGTACCAGCAGGATGGTGACTACATCAAAGACATTGAGATCAATGATCTCCGTAATCGCTATACACTGACCAAAGGAGCTACACAAAAGAGGGTAAATAACTGTTTTTGCTGTCCACTGATCATGTAGGATCATGCCTTCTCCATGCTCTGCTGCGCTGCACCTGGTGCGTGTGCTGCGGGGCTGGAGTTGGTCTCTGTTTGCGCATCTCTCTATGAGAGTCAGAGCTTACTTGATCTAGCACCCCACCCCATTTATCAAATGCTAACCTCCATGTGCCATCTAGATCAAAGACGAGACTGGCGCCGGTACGCATCCCCGATTACAACTATTAACCTTTAGAATACCTGCTTATACATGCAAGATGTCACTACTCGCGGAGAATACTACCCAGACAAGAACATGGCAACTGCTACTGTAGGTGAACACGCAGAGTCTCGTCGACAGAGCTAACGGGAACAGAACCCGCCGCTGTACCTCCGCATCACTAGCACCTCCAAAGAAGGCCTGGACAAGGCTGTCGAGATGATCGAAGAGATGATGAAGGAGGACCTTCCTAACCTTGTAGACGAACGTCGTTTCCGCCGTAGAGAGCCAGAGAACTTCGAGCGCGACGAATTTGGCAGAGTATGTCGCCCTGTCTGTCATCCAACACGTTGCTAATACTTCCCAGCGCAAGTGGCCCGAAGAGAAGATTTCCGTAGGTCTCGAGCCTATCAGCGGCTTTAACTTGCGCGCACAGGTTGTCGGTCGCGGTGGCGACAACGTCAAGTTCATTCAACAGGAGACAGGCTGCAAAGTCCAGATCAAAGGCCGCGGTTCCGGCTTCATGGAGCCAAACAGCGGACAAGAGAGCGACGAGCCCATGTACCTCCACATCGCGTTCGTATACCCCGCCATTCCTACCCTCCAATTACTGACAGATCGTAGTGGACCCCGTCCCGAAGGTGTAGCCCAAGCCAAGCAACTCTGCGACGAGCTCCTCGACAAGGTAAAGTCGGATTACCACGCTTACAAGGAACGCCCTCCACCGAACCGTTACGGCGACCGAGATGGCTATGGCGGTGGACGACCGGGATACGGCGATCGTGGCGACCGTGGAGATCGCGGTGACCGTGATCGCAGCCAGAGCTACGGATACGGTGGAGGAAACGGAGGAGGCGGCGGCTACGGTGGCTACGGCGCTCAGGGTCAGAACGGTTACGGCGGCCAGGACACAATCATGTCTCCTGCTGCTGCAACGCCGACTGCTGATGCTAACAACCAAGCCTACGATGCGAATGCGGCACAAGCATGGATTGCCTACTACCAGCAGAACCCAGAGGCTGATCCTTATGCGGCCTACGGTGGGTATGCAGCGTATCTCGCACTCCAGCAACAGCAGTACGCGGCGTACTATGCTCAGAACGGTTATGGCCAGACGCAGTCGCCTGCTCCCGGCGCTGGCGCGGCTGCACCACCACCGCCGCCGCCTTCAGAGCCATCCGGCTACGCTGCTCCACCGCCGCCTCCACCGGCTGCATCGCCTTCCAACTATGGCGCCGTCCCTCCACCTCCCGGTTTGTAAGTCCGAAGCAACGACTATGATTTCGCGCTTACGACAGCCATTCAACTTGACTTGATTGATCGAAACTAGTCCGATTTGCCTTTGCATATTGACTGACGGCGGGTGTGGTGGATTGGTTTGAGGGTTTCTCTACGCTTCGGCACGTTTAGTTACAGGTACGGAGCATCGTCTCAGTCACGGTAATAGTCTGCCAATCTGGAGTTGTCATTTTAGTTAGGATACCAGTGCCATTGCTATAGCTTAAATTTAAGAATGGTATTGCCCATCGCGTCATCTCTCAGATTACTTTGACGCGTGCTGTGATTGGGTCAGAGAGTTTCCTTCTCCGCGGTACATATGACTCGCGTGCATCTCCGCAGTCGGCTCGGTATATTCTGAAGGCACCATTTTTGACGTGCTCGCACCGCGTCGCCGCCACGGACAACCTACGAAAAGATGCGGTCGCAAATACTTCGTGCTGGTCAAGCAGCCAACTGCAGGGTGAGTCTACACATACCATTGGCCGCCCAACATCTCTCCAAACCCCATGCGACTTCCGCAATAGTCATCGTCATCGCGCTTCTCTACTACACCTCTAAGTGGCACAAAGACGCTGACACCCCTTCTACAGCCTCATCTCTCCTCCCTCCGCCAACCGCTCAGATGCCTAGCCACATCGCACTCGCCGCCCTCCGCGCGCAACGTCGACCTCGGCTCGCGCACCCCACCGTACGCCAAACTCCTCTCGCGGCTCGAACAAGTCCGGCGCGTACTGGGCTCGTCTCGCCAATTGACTTTGGCAGAGAAGATCCTCTATTCGCATCTTGAGAGTCCTGAGGAGTCTTTGTTGAGCAACACCAATGGAGGAAGGGATATTCGGGGCCAGGCGAATCTCAAGTTGAAGCCGGATCGCGTGGCGATGCAGGATGCGAGTGCGCAGATGGCGCTGTTGCAGTTTATGAGCTGTGGGTTGCCGAGTACGGCTGTGCCTGCTAGTATTCACTGTGAGTGACAGTCATGGATGAACTGCGATCAAGGCATGTGCTGACTACAACCTTAAGGCGACCACATGATAGTAGTCAGTAGTACCCTGGAGGCCGTCCTGGTCCCACTGTGAGGATTTCGCTGATTTGAACGTCTAGGGAGAAAAAGGCGCCGACACCGACCTTCCACAATCGATAGCGGGTAACAAGGAGGTTTTCGATTTCCTCGAGTCGGCGGCGAAGAAGTACGGAATCGAGTTCTGGCCACCGGGTGCTGGCATCATCCATCAGTCTGTCCTGGAAAACTACAGTGCTCCTGGGCTCATGATCTTGGGCACCGACAGTCACTCACCGAATGCTGGAGGTCTGGGATCGATTACAATTGGTGTTGGTGGTGCCGATGCGGTCGACGCTCTTGTGGATGCGCCATGGGAGTTGAAGGCACCCAAGATCTTGGGTGTGAAGCTTACCGGAGAACTCAGCGGATGGGCATCGCCAAAGGATGTGATCCTGAAATTGGCTGGCGAGCTGACCGTCCGGGTATGTCATTGTGAACATGGCGAAGTACTCCTGGCTAACGCATGTGCAGGGTGGCACTGGCTTCATCATTGAGTACTTTGGCCCTGGTGTGCAATCTCTAAGCTGCACAGGCATGGCGACTATCTGGTGAGACTCTTACATAGTTCAACTCGTGGACAAGTACTAATACGATATAGCAACATGGGCGCTGAAGTCGGCGCAACTACCTCGCTCTTCCCCTTCTCTCCTGCGCATATCCCCTACCTCCAAGCCACACATCGCGGACCGATCGCTGAAGCCGCTGCCAAGATCGCCGGTTCACCAATGCAGCAGAACCTGCTACGACCTGACCCGGATGCCGCCTATGATAAAGTCATCGAGATCAACCTTTCGGAACTCGAGCCTCACATCAACGGACCATTCACCCCTGACCTGTCAACACCTCTATCCAAGTTCAAGTCTGTAGTTGAAGAGAAGGGATGGCCACAAACATTCGGTGCGGGCCTAATTGGTAGCTGCACAAACAGCTCATACCAGGACATGACTCGGTCAGAAGAGATTGTGAAGCAGGCACTAGCAGCGGGTCTCAAGCCCAAGGCGGACTTCTTCATTACCCCAGGAAGTGAACAGATCCGAGCAACGTTAGAACGGGATGAAACCCTTCAAACGTTTACTGCTGCTGGTGGCACTGTACTGGCAAACGCTTGCGGGTGAGTTTTCAAATTATCCTGATTGATTCCAAGTACTGACAACCTCGACGTCCCTGCATTGGGCAATGGAAGCGTACCGACGACGTAAAGAAGGGTGAATCCAACGCTATCCTCACGTCCTACAACCGCAACTTCCCCGGCCGCAACGATGGTAACCGAGCTACCATGAACTTCCTCGCTTCTCCCGAACTCATCACCGCCATGTCATACTCTGGCTCTACGACCTTCAACCCAATGACCGACAGCATCCCGACACCCGACGGCAAGCCTTTCAAGTTCGCGCCGCCAAAGGGCTCTGACCTCCCTACCGCTGGTTTCGCAGACGGTAACCCAGACTTCATGCCTACGCCAGGTGTCCCCGACGCCAGCGTGGATGTCATTGTCTCGCCTACATCCACCCGTCTGGCACTCCTTGATCCTTTCCCAGCATTCCCTGGCTCGGAATTTACAGGCCTGCGAGTACTCTACAAGGTCAAGGGACAATGCACAACAGACACCATCTCGGCTGCCGGTCCATGGCTCAAGTACAAGGGCCATCTCCCCAACATCTCTGAGAACACACTCATCGGTGCAGTCAACGCACAGACCGATGAAGTCAACGTTGCCTACGACTTCGACGGTAAGACGTCCGGTATCCCAGAACTAGCAAAGAGGTGGCGCGACCAGGGCATCGAGTGGCTAGTTGTAGCAGAGCACAACTACGGCGAGGGTTCTGCCCGTGAACACGCCGCCCTACAACCCCGATACCTCGGTGGCCGCATCATCCTAGCCAAGTCATTCGCCCGCATTCACGAGACCAACCTCAAGAAGCAAGGTATCGTCCCTCTCACCTTCGCCAACGAAGCCGACTACGACGCCTTCGAAGCTTGCGACCAGGTTGCTACACGGGGACTGTTGGACGTGCTAAAGAGCGGCGGCAAGGGTGAAGTCGAACTTGTCCTCAAGAAGAAGGACGGTAGCGAGAAGGTCGTCAAGACCAAACACACACTCTCGCACGATCAATGTGGATTTGTGATGGCTGGCAGTGCGCTCAACCTTCTAGCTGCGAAAGGCAGGGAGATGAAGGAGGAGGTTACCCGGAGTGCGGAGCTGAGTGATTGAGTCAATTTTGTATAAGTAGGCAAAAGTGAGCATCTACGGCGCTATTGGTGTCACGGCGCATAAAGTATCCTAGCAATAGACTATTTCCAGTCAAACGAATACGCAATGAATTACCTATAACCAAACCGATGTAAAGAGTGACAGCGTGATTTTGATGTTCGGCCCTCCCCCACCAAAGCCCCAAAAAAATGCTGCCTGGCAAACATCATCCGCACAACGTCATCTCAACATGCACAACACAGATGAGTGAATATATAGCAGCAAAAGGGAAGCAAAAAGCATCTCGGGCGGGGCTCGAACCCGCAGCCTTTGGATTAACCATGGATACAGTTAGTAGAAGTCCAACGCGCTACCATTGCGCCACCGAGACCGTCAAGCGGAAATAGAGACTTCTGGCAATTTTCAGAAACCATACGTTAATATACCCTAAATTTTTTGTGGACGTGATGGTCGGGGAGGATGTTTGCTACATGAGGGAATGACTGATTGAGGTTTGCATGTGAAAACTTGAAGGGTGCCACGTCACGGGCGCGAAGTGGGGGTGTGCAGACATGGTTCGCTCCTTTGTTTGACACGGGGTGTGGTGGGCTGAGCAACACCAGACTGGGGTGAACAAGGAGGACACCGATGTTATTGTTTGGATGAGTTATGGCGAGATTTTGTGCCTAAATCTCAAAGGGTACTGCTCCATATGCGGTCGTACGAAGCTGTGCTACCTCAACGAGGCGTGCCCATGCTAACGACTCATCAGCAGCCAAGGTCGCGCGCGCGTTAGATATACTGTTGTATTCACCCCATTCATCATACGTCCACGGCTAGAGCTACGAGCGGGAAAGTCCACATCAAATCCCCTCGATCTTCTCAATCATCTCCAACATAACCTCATCCGTCAGTTCAGCCACTATTCCATCACCGCTCTTATTCCGCTCACACACTTGCCGCAGCTGCAGACGATTCGACTCCCAACTAACCCACGCAGCAGCCTGGAGGAAGCAATCTGTGACGTCGTCCAGCTTCTTGAGCGCAGAGCCTGCGACTGCTGCAGCTGGAAGCACGTCGTCTGTTTCCTCCTTGGCTTTCTTACGCCGTTTGGATGTTGACTGCGATAGGAGCGCTTGACGGGTACTCTCTGCATCTGGCGCGAAATTGAAGGTTATGCCCGGTACCGTGTCTTGTGTTACCGACGCCGTGGACGCGGGTGTTGCGGTGAGCCAAGAGCGGAGGAGAGCGATTTTGACCTTCTTTTCTGCTTTGGATCGACTGAGCGTCTTTTTCGGAGTGGCCACTTCGGCTTCGTCGCCCTCGTTTAGTTTGACGACTTCTTCGTCGCCTTCTGCGAGGCGTCCGGCAGCTCGGGTGAGCCAATATTGACCCACGCGTTTGGGATCTGCACTGAAGACCTCGTAGAGCTTTGCTGTAGTCGATTCTGACGCTCCATTTTCCAGTCGTTGTGCGTATATGGTTTGAAGTACAGCCCATAGCATGCCTTCTAGAGTGTTGACCCGCAAAGTCCACTGTTGCACCGCGCTGCCACCGCCAGATCTCCATCTTTGCTTTTCGATCAAGATGATGTCTGGCGAGCCGGCTAGAATCGTGTTCTTGATTAAGCTGTAAGCTGTCTTGGACAAAGCGTCCGCAGAGTACATGTCAGATGCTTCTTCAGCACCCTCAGTACGTTGCTTTGTGGTCTTGCCCTTTCGTGGCGTTTTCTTTTCGCTCTGTATCTCGTCGCCTGGGGCTTCCGTGAGGTTAATCTTCTCCCATCTCAAAACTTTCATTTCCGCATCTAGGCTATCCTTCGCTGGGTAAGATACCTCCGCCTCGCAAAACGCCAGGTTCTTGATTCCCATGTCGATGCTCATAATTCGGAGCTTCTTGTTTGCAGCTCCAGGTTTTGGCCATGTCGATTGACTCTTGGAAGGATGAGATATTCCGATATCACGTCGGAACCGTTCCTGCAGTACTGCTTTTGTTCCCGACGATGGTGCGCCGATATGTACAAGCAGAGTTTGCAGCGCCTTAGCAGTCACAGTACGAGGTTTGGGTGCCATTGAAGCTATCGGCTTTTTTTTTCGGGTTTAAAGTAATCTAGGATGCAGATTGATCGACGAGAAGAAGTGCTATTGACTTAGCACGAGCGGAGAGAAGCGCCGGAGGCATTGTGAATCGCGGCGCGTTGAAGGGACCATGTAAGAAGAGCAGTGGCAACTCAATGGTTTGTAGTCATCTTATCAAACCTTACACTTGGTGTGCGAAGACGTGTTGGTGGATAAAGTTTTTGGGGTTGAGAGTTGAGGAAAAGTCAAGGTAAACACGTCCCGAATTAGCGTGGAGCACGCACGTGATGCGGTCATTGACATCACAATCCTCGAGTTCAAATAGATAGTTCATGTCAAAAGATGAAATCTCAGACGTAATTAGCTAATGTATCGTTATCATATTCTTTGCACACATGCTATTAACGCTGCGTTAAAGTCCATCCCAAGGCCTCTTCACGTCTCTTCACGTCCATAGTTCAAACCAAACCTGGAAGTCACCAAATACTTCTTTTCTTCGACTACCCCTCACAAATAAGATCAAAATCCGGAAAATCGGGATCAGGACCAATGTTCGTACTCGCAACCGCACTGTTGAAGTCCTTGACCTGTGCGTTCTTCTGCGCGTCATTGCACTTGTCTATCAAGTCTGTTAGCGATCCGTCCCAATCTGTAGGAAGTAAGAGAAGAAGGATGACTTACTCTTCTGCTCATCACAGTCATTAACACTCAACCCCCCATCCTGCCTCTTCTTCCCCTTCTTCCCCCGACCTCCACCACCTCCATTGCTATTCGCAGTGTTACTGCACCCTTGAAACTGATTATCGCAACTCCTCTGAGCCGCAGAATCGAAACTGGTGAATGTGTCGCCATCGACCTGAAATGGTCGTTCTTTGTCGCCTGAGTTTGTAATGGGTGATGCACGCGTTCCGCCGAGGTTGCCGTCAAAGGTCTGCAGATCGGATACTTGCCGTAGGAAGAGGGTGTGGCGAGGCACTAGTGACATCTCCCAATCCGAGGAGACTAGGGCTGGTTGTGGAGAGGCATGTGATAGGGCGGGGAGGGCGAGATGGATTAGAGCTAGGAGGGCTGTAGGAAGGAACATGGCTGTGTAGGGACGACTTGTCGACAGAGACGTTTGTCGGTGTTGAGAAGTGTCGGGCGTGAATGATGCCGGGCGTGAAAGATGTGCCGTGCGTGAAAGCTGTTGCCGTGCGTGAAAGCTCCTGCCGGGCGTAGATGTTTGCCGGGCGTGAATCTTGCCGGTGCTGAAAGATGCCGGTATGGTAAGATTTTGCCGTGCGTGAAAGATGCCGCTGTAGTAAGATCTGACGGGCGTAAATCGTTGCCGGTGCTGAATATATGCTGTGCGTGAAAGACGAAAAGTGCCGTGCGTGAATCAACCTCGTGCGTAAACCCTCAATACCACAATCTCCAGTATCCTCCGAACGTATGTAGGCACAGCCTTTGAAAATAATCGACTCGATCGCACCAAACGAATGTAAATATCGCAATCTCCTCAGAGAGCAAAAGACGCAAATCCCCGTTCCAAACACCCACCCGGGGCCAACCGCATCTAAGTATAACCTACTGCCCCAACGCCAAACGCCTCCACATGGCGTGGAAGCGCCGAACATGCATTATCTCACGCCAAACGAGTTTGGGGCCCAGCGGTCACAAAGCTTGTTTGGGCAAGTCGACACGTTGGTTGCTTGCGACGGTGCTGAAACACGATCCTTGACTCGACCCCTTGCAACGCATAAACATGTGCACGCTGCACACGTAAGAAGGACGAGGCGGGCAGAAGAACGGCCTTGTTCGAGTGTGAGGGAGAAAAGGAGAGCATGAAGATGGTGATGTAATAGAAGTAATCGGCCAGTAGACACTTTTGGGTATGTTGATTTCGATATTTCGCGCTATGGATTGGGGTATGACTATGCTAAAACAAACAAGAAAGACAATGACGCTCTATTACAACTGACGTAAACCAGGTGTAACGATGCAAAGCGCAACGTACACAGACAGGATAATGATGGGGAGTGAGCGGACGAAAGTGGTTGTTGTGGTGCCTCTTCCCCAACGTGATGGTATACGTCTAAATCTACATTGTGCGCAGTCCTTGTGGGACTGACTGACCACGATGGTGACGGTATACGCGAATCTAACATCGCGGAATCAGCGCTTGGAATGCAAACTCACAGAGACGCCATTCGTGGATTAAAGCCGCGATTGCACATATATACATCCTCCGCCGTGCTGTCGTCTCTCAAAATCGCTTCTAGCTCAGACAAATTCCGCAGATAGTCGTTGGTATCGTAATGGGCCCTCGTAGGCCTATGTACTTTGGTCGGGCTGCGCTTCGCCTAGAAGTTGGCAGCTGCGTTGGGGCGTCCTCCTGGGTTGTGGTACTGCTCCAGGTTCGACTGGAAGGGCGATGAACCGGTGCCGTTCTGAGGCTTGTCGCCGAGGGCTGAGCCAGTGCCGGCCATGAGGTCGTCGTCGTCTTCGTGGACACGTGCTTGGCGCTTCTTCATGCGCCAGAAGACGAGGGCGATGCCACCGAGGAGTAGGGCTCCACCAACGCCACCAACTACACCTCCGATAACTTTCTTGTTGGAGTCACTAATGCCACCGCCGTTGTCGCTGTCACCTGCTTGTGCGGTGGGCGGGTCGGTGACGACGGCTTCACCGGTGGAGGAGACGGAAGTGCTGGTGCCTGTCGAAGTCGCTTTGGTTACTCTGCCATCGCTCAGGGTTGTGTCGAGAGTCGTGGTATACTCGAACACCGAGGTGGCGAAGAGAGCGGAAGTCCTGACAATCGCGGTCGTTCTTACGGAAGAGCTGCCATCTTCGGTGGCCGTTGGTGAGTTAGCGGCGCCGCCACCACCTCCACCAGTGCGACTCGTGCCCGCCGCGGTTGTTGAAGCGTCGTTGTTGTTGTTGCTGTTGTTATTATTGTTATTG